ACAGTAGTAGTATATATATATATATATATATATATATATATATATATATATATATATATATGCCCCAGCTCCAATACGCCAGATCGATGGTCTCAGATCCAACTGCTAGGGTCCTTGGGGGCAGCGTGGTGCCTTCCCGGGGAACTTGTTCAGATACTGCTGTACGATATAGATGGACTGGTTTTGGAGTTCTGTTTTGATTTCGGTATTGGTTACGAGCACCTCTCTCTCTTTCTCGCTCTTTTTCTCTTCTTGGCACTGCCATGTGCACTTACGGCTGACCCCGGTCCGGCCTCGATACTAGTCGTCTTGCGACTCGAGCATAGCCATACTATTACGATGGCCACGGCAGCTTGCGCCTGTCTTACTCTCTTTCTGGTTTCTTTTCTTCTGGCGAGAGATCCTCCTGTTACTGTGATCCATCCTATCTGTAAGGGAAGGGCGCAGACGATAGTAGCTTTTGCTGCACCACTTTGAACTGCTTTCGAAGGCTGTCTTGTATGTAACTCCTTAGCTTAGCAGGTCGCCGTACCCCATGGGAGGTCCCAGGGCGGCAGGCTGCGCCTGCTATCCGCCCGACGCTAATAAATACAACAACAACAACAACAACAACAACAACAACAAATCCAACTGCTTCCACGTTTGCGTTTGATGTTTCGAGAAACCTCCCATAAACTACCAAGCAGCTGCCCTACTCCCACCACCGGGTTTCTGCCCACAGATGATATGGAGAGGCATATGGCTATGCACCCAGCTATCCATATACGCCTTCCTGCACTCCACCAGCCATACCTCGACCTGCTCCTTCGACCACCCCAAGCCCCTCGTCAACGGCCCCAACGCAATCGGCAATAACCCGTCCAGCAGAATCGTCCTCCAGTACAGGCCCACCGTCTTAAGCACTTTGTTCTTGGGCCAAACCCCGATCGGCACGTGGAATATCCGCGTCGATACGTTGACGAATCCTGCCTCTCGCATCATGTCTTCCAGGAGAAGGGTGGCATTGAAATTCACCCCCAGGTTGGCCAGAGCGGTAATGACGAGGCTCCAGTATTGCGCGATGGTGTGGTCAGGCGGCATGGAGCCGTCGTGGCAATAGGGGTAGTGGTGAATCTCCTGAAGCTCCATCCAGCCTCCGGGCTTGAGATGCCTGGGCCTCGTTAGCTGCTGCTTCTGCCAAGCGTGTCGAGAATCGAGGCAAGTACTCTAGAGCTCGCTGCATTAGAAGAGGCCAGTTTCGTATCGCCATCACAGTGTGTCGGCTGTGTATGTATTCGAAGTGATTGGGTGGCTTGAGCCAGGGAGACTCGACGTCGTCGACCATGAACCTGACGTTGGGGGGCACCCATTCGGGCTGTATTGGACTTAGATCTACGCCGAGAATGTTGGCGCCTGGGTATAAATCACCCACTAGAAATGGGGTCAGCACTTTCCCATACATTTCCTTGAAGAATCGACCTTGAACAACCCACTCTCTATAGCCCATATGCCAGTTCCCGTCCCCATATCCAGAATGTTTTGCGGGTTATCGCCAATCGGCGCAAAATGCAACTGCCCTCCCAGAAGATTGACCATCATAGCATGCTTCATATCCTCCCTTTCCTGCTCACTAGGATCATTGGGGAAGTTATACGACCCCTCCCTGAACTTGTGGTATCTCCTACCATTTTCGAATGCGAAGTCTCTCACACTACTCGAAATAGAAGCAGATGTTGAACCCACAGAGTCTGTTTCGTAGCCTGCGTCGAAGGCAGAATCTGGGTCGAGGTCATCGATTTCAATCTGGTCTTGCGCTTGTGTGACCGCTGTTTGTGCTTCCGCGAGCTCTTCGGAAGAAAGCTCTACTCGTGGATCAGCCGGGTGTGAAATAGTTCTCGGAGAGTTCGAGTTGGACGGTCTTGATTGCGCAGCTTCTGCCGGGTTGTTTGCGCCCAAAGATATAGCGGAATCGAAGGGTAAAGGTAGGGAAGCCATGTTTGAGATTCTTGTGGCGCTTGAACGTTGTCCAGATGTTACGCAACTATAGACAAAGCTTCAACTGAGAAAGGGAAAGGGATTCGTTAACATGCTGCTCGGGCTCGAGTATCCGTCCTGGTACTCGTCCCTGAGTATGCGGGCTGCCAGATCCTCCTCCTAAGTTGCCACCTTAATGCGATGCGGATTTCCGCCACTCTTCGTCGTTTATATTCAGCTTCTGATAAATCGAGGTAGAGTGTAGTGCCAAAATTAGTATCGTCTCCATGAAGGAAAGATATGGAAATGTGAGCAGATCTCGCATGGGCCTTTTCAGCATCTGATCATGCGATCTGTCACATTTTTGTCAAGCAACAAACGAAGGTCTCTGCGCTCGACAGGTGGCTGGCTGGACAGCTGCGTCGGGGAGGTTTGGGCATGACATTTGGCCTAATGTATGGCCATATGCGAGCCACAGGGATAACGGCGGCAGTTGGGCGCCGTTTTTCAGCCTTCAGCTGCATTCCTGAGAGCATCCTTGCTCGATAGGTAGATCAATAGCGAGACAGGATGTGAACTTGTCATTGACTTTCATTTACTCCTCAGAACTTGGAAGTAAAACTAAACCCTGAGAAGCTACTTACCTCGTTCATAACATGGCCGCGGCATCATGGATAGAGAGACAAAAGTGCAAATCAGGAAAGAAACTGTCCGATCTTCAATACCCGGTTTTTGATGACCTCAAAAGTTGAGAAAAATTCCGGTGGCCCGCGGCAGACTGACACCCTGGAGTACTGGGCCCAGATGATAGAAAAATGAAGATGACTCGGTAGCAGTACAGCGCGAGAGCTGGTGGCACAGCATAGGGCCAAGTGAATGTTGTGCATGCAGACTCGAGGTTTTCTAAATTCTGAGCGATGTCGATTTAGCCTGCCAAAAGACCAACGTGACGACCAGTGTTGCTAATTCCGACCTCAGATACTTTGTATGCAGATATGCACGCATGTCGTACAGTACTCACGATTCATTGATGACTTCGCTTAGCTTGATTCTGAATCTTGCAACTGACCGACCATACCGGTACACCCCCTCAACCTCACTCGACACCACCCTAGCGTCGCTAGCACCACGCCCCAAGCAACCCAACAGCCACTTAATAGAGCTCGCCAACGCGCAGAGAAGGATGTTCTTTACCACAGTTCTCTGTCAGCGATCTGATGAGCCTTGTCCGCAGTCTCCGAACTTCACTCCAAGAGCCAAAAGGCAGGATAAAGCTGCTGAAGGATCATGGAAATAAAGCATCGCTAGAGTAGGTACGGTAGTAGACCCAGCACATCAGCCAACGCAAGCGGAGTAGGACCGACTGCAGACCAGACGCGAGAGATCTTTCTACGCACTGTCCTCTGGCATCGGCAAGGGAGGAAATGCAGGAGGACCTCATCCTTCGCCAGAGCCCCGATGGCAGTGCACCCCACACAGTGGCGAGTCGGTGGTATGGGCACTCGCAAGACTGCTGCTCATACATATTCAGCCTCAAGACCTCCTTTTTGATCTCTATAAAGGCTTCGCAAGAGAGAGATGCCGGACCCCTAAATACGCAGTATCTTATCATATTTTGAGTTTATCTTGAGACCCTCCGATAGAGGTGTCCACATCCACCACCGCGTGCTGTGCTTCAATATACAACGTAGTTCATCGGCTGGAGGCGGATAGGGCTGGAAGTCGTGCGTTGATGCGGGCTAAATCAAGATGCTCCGAGAACGAGGAAGTCAACCCAGCCATTAGCCTCCAGAATCCCGAATAGTTTGTGGTGGTACTTACCATCTGGCAATTGGCCGCGAAAATATCTTGCAAACAGATTGGAGCAGAGCTGAAAGCTTTGGCTATAAGAAGCTCAGATTCATTCTTCTCAGTCCCGAGCCATGTATGCCATCGTTTGGCAGCCAACAAGGGCCTCTCCTTCTCTGTAGTTAGGCTACAGTTTTGAAGCAACCCAGCGCGGAGTCGATGTGGATGCTCGCCCTTGGTGATCCTGGCGAAGGAACAGCCGTCCACGCGCCGCCAAGATCTTCATACCACGGTACAGGCGTAAGTATTACCCCTCGAGGGTGCCTCAAAAGTTTAGTTTCCACTTTAAACCCCCTGGTTTCCCTACCCTCGAGGGATAATACTTACGCCTGGGACGTAGTACTACAGTACGTAGATTCTAGTGCGTGCATCAGGGGTATAGTTCAACCTAATCCTAACTTCATCGTTCTTGATTCACAGAATCATCAGCCTGATAAGCCTGTATATTCGCCTTCAAAACGACGAGACGGATATATAAATCTCCCTATGTAGAGCGGCTGACCATGCAGAGAAGGGAGTAAGTCTTTTCATGCTATCGGCACTGAATTTGTGACTCTAACTGCGACCAGAAAGCAACAAGATGCCACCTTTCCTCGTATGCTCCATGTTCCCCGTCCGAATAGATTTGAACGGTATGCCATGCTAGCAAAGCTTTGCTCCTACCGTTCATTTTGTAGCGCTGTGGAACCTCAAGGCGGGAAGGTAGCGGGAGACTGGTGAAAGAAACTCTCCTTTGCATTTGTTCTCCGTCGCGAAGCTTTTGCTCTCTCAATAAAATTGCGCAGAATCGTTGCATGTGCTTGATTCTGAATAAAGGCCAGTGCTGCTAGGCGCAGTCGGAGGACGTGTACCGCTTCGTGCATTGGATCCCACCGCTTCTGCTTTCTGCGTGTCGTGTATGAGTAAATCCTGTTCCCCAAGCCTGCTGGGCTTATATATCCCATGTTTTGGCATATCAATTGCAAACCATCGTCGGACCTAATTGCCGTCTGCTCTGGCATGAGTATCTAAACAAGAGGGCAGGATTCAGCCAAAAAGAAATTTCCAAGAATGTAACGAACCATTTAAGTAAGAATCCGAGCAGGTAATAACAGTTGCCGTAAAAGCACAGCAATGAATATGTATTTCGCGTAGCTACTAGCCAATCAGAAAGCCCTTGACGGCCGATATTTCCGAATCGGCTATCGCGCTTAAAAAAATCTGCCTGATGAATTTGGGAATCTCAATCTCGAAACGCGACTACGCGTCCACCGACCATCAACATCACAACTACTATAACCATCACAACCACCATAACAACCACAACTGACTGGAACGCGACCGCGGCTCCCCAGCAACGGCAGACAAAGCCTAATAAAGTAAGTCTTCCGCTATGTATTTTTGAAGATTTGATTTGTCTTGAGACACCCTCGATGCTTGCTAGCTGTACGTTGCAAGCTCAGCGCCTGTATGAGTTCGATCTTTCGGACTTCAAGGAAAGGCACGCAAGCAACTCTTCACAAAGGAAGAAACAACAACGCTGACTTGGATGTGCGAGAAGAAACAGGGAAAGGGAACCAGCCAGTCTACCCCAAGCAGCTACCTACCGTCCGGCTACACCTCAGAGATCGCCGCCAGCATGTCTCGCCGTCGGCCCCCTTCTTCTCCACAGGCGCCACGAAGACCGAGGAGGACCTCACGAGCTCGAAATCATACAAAATAATCCTCTTCCGATACCGAAAAATAAATAAAACATAGCAAAGAATTGATAATCAGCCCACTGCCTCTTCCTTGGACAACGGAGAAAGAGCTGCTCAGGTGATGGTGAGCCTGTCCGGACCAGTTCTCAGTCTCCTTGGTAAAGCTTAGCATTAAGCAAACACCTTCATCCCCCTCTCCCCTCTGCCTTATTCTTATCGATAGGAGACTTTCTCCTATCGATAACAAAACAAGGAACCCCTTACGGAACTCCCATCTTCCAGCTCTAGCTAGCTAATAGCTCCCACCGCAAAGAGAAAGAGAAATTTGCTAACTGATTAAGAGGTATTCCTTTACGGTCGCGGTCCTTTGCGAAGCGCTTGCTAGCTCGAGTCTGCCGCTACCAAGGGCTTGTTTGTTCTGCAATTCGAACACATACGCAACTCAACGACTCTTCGTCCACATCAACGGTCTTGGTCTTTATACGATAATTCCAGAGGCAGGCTAGAGCATACGTATGTACGTACCTTCTGACTCCGGCTCTCTGCAATGCTGTCTGCCCACCTGCAGGAAGAAGCTATCTAGCTCAGGCATGCAGTCCAGTTCAGTCTAGTCCAATTCCAGTTTAAATCCCGACACCGAAAAGATTTCTCTTCTCCCTTGGTCCAGGAAAGAGAAAAGAAAAAAGAAAAAGCAAAACCTCAACGAAAAACGAAAACCAAAACAACGCGAGAAAGGAAGAAAAGATCCCCGTCGTCCATTTTAACACGAAATATTGCTTGCCTGCCCGCCTGCCTGGCCAGCAGTGGAAACTGGGCTTTGCTCTGCTCTGCTTATGACAAACAATACTCCTCCCGCAGATCTTGAATGATCTGGCTTGATCGACACAAGCAATACGGAGTCCGTCTCAGTCTCAAGAGGAATCTCCTTTAGCTGCTCAGATCTTCCTTTCTTTTTTTGAAGGGAGGGAGGTTTCCTTCTTCTGCGCAGCAAGTGCCCACATAACTCTAACTGGGACCAAGATGGACCATTCCGAGTCAACAAATCAACAAGTCATCACTCATCATCCCCTTTACGCTTTCTGATAAAAAAAAATATATCTGCCCCCTTTTCGGCAAAGCGCAATACACAAGCACAACAGAGAGTAGTAACACCCACCCACCCAGCCACCCAGCTCATGCAGACCACGCTGGAGAGTGATAACACGAGAGCGCTCGAGGACGCATTGTCTAGGTCAGAGCCCCCTTTCTTCGCCACACTAAAGTCAACGAACACAAGTGAGTGGCAAGGAAGGGGTACTGCAGGAAACGGGTTGCCAGTCAGGACTTGGTGTGGGAGGTACCAATCACAACGGGAAAGATAAAAACTAACAATCTGGTGCTCAAAACTACCTGGTTCATTGTTTGGCCTCGCTCACTTGAGCGTCTTCTTTCTAACCAGCCAGGTCTGGAAAGTCAAAGTCAACACCAACTCTAGCCAGCACTTGCTGACTTGCAATGCGCGGCCGAACACTAGGATGGAGCGAGCAACATTGATTTCACAAAGGATCCACCGTAGGGTCTCCCTAACGGATACAAATCCTCAACACCAGCACTACTTCTCGCCAACGGAATAATTGAGATGGGGTTCCATTTTTGGACTATCTACCCACCCATTTGATTCCAATCTACCAGTCGTCAAAACCACCCATCCTTCGTTCCACCAGACCAAGAACATTATCAAGAAGCCACCCGAAGCCAAGTTGCCAGCAAAGACGTCCTAGCTAGCAAACACGCAGCGAGAAGAAATCCGAGTCCGTGGCATAGATCTAGCGAGACGCCAGCACCGGCGGTACAAGAGGAGGGTTGTGCAATTGCAGTAAGAACCGCATAGGGAACTTTTCAAGTTTTTGAAAGGTACATCCGAAAGATCGAGAGACTTGGTTGCCGAATGAAGCAAAGAAGGATCGATGAAGAATTTTACATTTAGTGTTTCGAAGGAGGTCTAGATGTCGAATTCAATCAAGTCCTCGTCATCGTCGATGGCAGCCTTGTTGTCTGGTGCTGGGGCATCGGCAGAAGTTGTCATGAAAGTGCGGCGAACAGGGGGGTTCGATCCGAAAACCACCAGATCCGGTGCAACGTCGCCAAAATTCCAAGGGTTACGGTCAATTGCGTCGCTCCCAACTGCGACCTCCTCCTGAGTGTCGGCAATCTCGTTCTCTGCAAGCTGGGTCAGAACAAGGGAACTGAAACCCTTCAGGTCCGACAAATCATCATCGAAGATATCAGGGGCACGAGTAGCACCACCGCTCTCAACTGGAACTTCCTCCTGGATCGTGTCGACTGTAGGGTTGAGGTTCTCACTCGTATCACCTGGGAAGTGGTTGTCACTGCTCAAAGTTGGAGACACGAGATGTAGAGATGACATTTCGGTGGCGGCATCATCCATGAACGAGCTAGGAGCGAAGACCGAGCCCTGCGGGATGCTGCGTCGGGACGCGAATGCTGGTGACGGCAGACCCAACGAGGAGATGTCACTCATGCTGGTGCGCGATGTAGGACCCAAGTTTGGTGCCACGGGAGCTACATGGACGAACACTGGAGATCCAGAAAGAGCCAACGTCGAGAAGTTGCTTAGCACACTTGAAGACTGCGAATCTAAGCTTGGTTGCTGTGAAACTTCCTGGCTTTGGGAGACTTTTGGCGATGTCCAGCTAGGTAAATCACTAGTATCGCTATCCAACAGGCTTTGGGAACCTTGCGATGGTCCAAAACGATGGGCAGAAGAAGTCTCGGCTTTTGGTGAACTCATTTCATTCGCACCAACTTGAACTCGAAGGCCACCATTCTTGGACTGAGCTCCTTTCTGATTTCGGGCGTTGGATGTATTCGGTTCAGAGCGGCCAGAGTCCTTGCCATTTCTACCTCCCACCACTGTAACCTCTGGCGAGTTGCGGTGCAAGGCTTGCTCTAGCGCTAAACTTGCAACTACATCGCCGAGCAGGCTTGAAGCGGCATTACTGTCACCCATGTGGCTTCTATTTTCGTCGGTGCACGAGGGAGGAGCATCGGTACCCTGGAGCCTCGGATTCTTTGATGTAGAGGAAGCTAGTGGGCCTGGTGCAGCTGGTCCGGACTTCTCTGTGGACGGATATGCAACATTGTCCAGAGCACGAGGGATGATCGAGCGAACCGTGCCAGGTCGGTCTGCTACTCTCACCCCATTCATGATGAGCACCGGCTTGTACGTCTCTTCGAATACAAGCTTTGAAAGGTCATTTTTGGGAGTTCGAGCAGCAATCAACTTTTGCTCCTCCTCTTGCTCTTTATCATGCTTGGCAGCATTCCATTGCCCCCATGGATTATTACGATGTTGCGCACTCTGCTGGCCATTAAAGTTGTTTGAGCCAGGGCTACCCATGATATCACCTCGTGGAGCTGACATGCTATCTTGTCTTGAACGATGGTGCATTGATCGTACCGTTGAGCTTCTGAACCTGTTTGAGGGACTTTGGTCGAAAATAAGTCGGCGTCTGATCTCCACGTCTCCCTTGTTCGAGCTAGGACTGGATGCCAAGTCTCGATAATCTTCGTATTCTGAAAAAACGTTCTCTACCAGCGCGCTCGGAGTGGTATAGCATCCCTCGCACAGGCAGGAATTGGCAGAGTACTGGTGGCAGTTTCTCGAGCATCCATGGCCGCAGGATAGGATCTTTGGACAAGCTGCCATGCAGTACACTCGCACATGATCGAAAGGATGGCACTTCAGTGTGCAAGGATGTCCACAAGGGAGAGGGCCTTGCTCACACGGAAGGTCGCAGCCTGAAGTATAATTCCACCAGTCAGCGGGATCGTGGATCGCAATGACATTACCATGTACGAGGCAAGTAACAGGCAAGCCACTATCGATATCCATGCGGCCCACGCCACGCATGTGCTGCAAAATTGGGAGCCACAATGGATCGCGGCCATTATAGTTCATCCCGTCGCTCTCTGTGGCAGTCAAGGTGACAGAGTTGCCAAAGAGATACAGACCTCGCCGAGCCCGCGACAGAGCCACTACGAGACGATTCTTATTTTCTAAGAAGCCGATGTTCCACTCCTGATTACTTCGAACCAATGAGAGCAAGATGATGTCGTTCTCCTCTCCTTGGTAGGAATCAACGGTGAAGACTTTGAAGTACCTGATCTCGCTCAGTTGGGCATGCTTCTTAAGGGTCTTGATGATCAACTTTCGTTGGCCGTTGTAGAAAGTTAAGACCGTGATATTCTCATGGTTGGTTCCGTTGTGGACGAGATAGTTGAAAAAACCCGCCACCATTTCGGCTTCGGTGAGGTTGCAGCGACTGCGATCTGTGCTCTGAGATTCGCCCCAGGTGTGGTGGAAGAAGTACGTATCAAGTCCTCCCATGCCAGGCACAGGCAGACGATTATGGACACGATCCAACACACTCGCATGGTCGTGGAGGTTCCTATAGAATGGCATAGGCTCGACGCAGAGCAGTTCTCTGACGTCCGGAATCATGCGGCGCTGTCGATTCAACCTAAGAAGAATGGGAAGTCAGATTGATGGTTTAAGTTTGCCTCGTGGGAAGCCGAGGAGTATTTGGCCACTACCCGATCAACTTACATTACGAATGGCATCGAGTTGTTGATCAAGCGCTCGAACATGGAGACATTCAGGTGATACGGGGCATCTTCTAGAGCCTTCACAGTGGCAGTCGCCTGCAATTGTTGATGATCACCTACCAAGATCAAGTGCTCCAGACTATCTATCAATCCGGCAATGATCTTAGCCTCTGAAGTCTCGGCAGCTTCTTCGATGAGAAGGGTTCTTGGCCGCAATGCAGACAAGAAGGCGCGATACTTCGAGAGACCAGTTGTTGTGCAACCGACGACCTTGATATTGAGATTGTGAACCAGGCTGATGCTAACGAGCGACTTCCAAATGTTAGCCTGGGCACACAAGAAGTGACTACCTGCTTACCCTTGTTACGGAGTAGTCATCGACACATCGCTGGTACTTCTCGAAAATTTGTCGAAGTTCGGCTACCATGACGGCGTCTATTCGTCTCTCAAAGTATCGGTATACTTCTCCTCGGCGCCCTAGCGGGATGGCATAAAGACTCTTGCGTTTTTCAAGAAGCTTCTTGATCTTCGCATCATCCACAGGCTGGCTGTGTAGGCCAGTATGTCTACGTTCAAAAGGAAACCAATTACCGCCGAGGGCGAAGTTGCCATCCTTTTCGTCGAAACCACGATCGTCATTTGCTTCCTCCAAGTCGCGAAGCTGCTCAAGCTCCACGTCAATTTCTTCCAAAGGCAAACCAAAGTTTATCATAGGGGCACCTTGGATTCGCATAAGGCCCTCCTCCGTCAGCCCTTGGAGAGGTTAGCGTCGCTCTAAGGAGTTCAAAAGAGTTGCTACGAGAGACTCACAGCTAGCAATGTCAGAATCATTCTCCTCGTCATCCTCCACCCACTCGTCGGCGTGGAGCGAATCACTTTGGGCTTGGGTGATGACACCATGCTTGAGCAGCGTCTCGGCCGTGAGAATTCTATCATCCAAGAGAGGCGAAATGATGGTCTTGATTTGGACGCAGAGGGATTCGTGCTCCATGGCAGCAGCTTTGATGCCTTTCCCTAGGCCAGGTGCACTGGGATTAGACTTGCGCAGTTCGTACAGAGTACGCTTGAGGATTTTTTCGTTGGATTTGTCAGATTGACCACCAAGTCTGAGGATATTTGGTTCGAATTTCATGACGTGCTTCAGCAATTGGTCCAAGGCATGATTGCTCTGGGCCGTTACAATGATAGGCGGATCATTTGGACGTAGATTGCTGATCAAGACCCTCAACGCGGAAACCGAAACGAAGGTCTTACCAGTTCCTGGCGGACCTTGGACCAATGCAATCTTTTTTGTCAGCATGGTCTCGCAGGCCTTGAGCTGAGACTTGTCCATGCTCGATGAGATGTTCTCGGGAAAACCTTTGATCACATCGACGTTGAGCAAGGGGTGATCACGCGAATATTTTGGGGAATCCGGGTCCTCGTCCACCTGCTCAAGAGAGGTCAGGTCCACATAAGGTTGTTCATCTAGGTATTCAGGAGCTTGGATATCTGTGTCGAGGTGGACTAGATGTCTCTCAAAGGAGAATCTTGATATGTTAGCAATTGTCTTCCGCCCGAGAGCTGCTGGGTAATACGGTACCTCTCGGTCATTAGTTTCTGCATAGCTACGAGCATATGTCTTGATGCCTCGAAGTAGCCGCGGCGGGCCTCTACCATGATGTATTCTGAAGACGCGGTTAGCTGATACTTCCAGAAGAGGAACAGACAGCTTACTCTCCACCGGATCAACGAACATGTCATTAATTTCGCCCCAGAACAAATCAACCGTTGGTGGATTCTGGTCCAGGCCACCCTCGATTGGTCGTGCAGCAACTGTTGCAATTTTGCAGATGCTACGGAATCCATCCTCCTGCGTACTCAGAGCAACGAGGGTTCCTTGCGCAAGTCGCTTGGATTGTTCCCAACGAATGCGTATCCCACCAGCACGCTCCGTAGAGAATTCTATGCGGGAAGCTATACCATTACGAGCGCATTGAAGTCCGACCACGGTCACCTGAAAGGATGTCAGTTATTGACTGCATTGCACTGCTGGCACTCGAAGATCGGATGAGTACTCACATGAGTGTACACCCAGGTGTTTTGGTTATCGACCATTGCCGGATCCTGCTGGACTTCGGCAATGGAGAGTCTCAACATGGCAATGGAATCCTCACGGTGCAATTGGTAGTGGGTGCCGATGTATGCCTCCTTGCTTGGCCAGGGGCCGTCCACCACGTTTTCCGGAAGGACTTCATTGTACACGGTGTCTTTTTGGTAAGCGTTCCACTCCTCCTCGGTCTTCTGGGTTGTTGTCGCCGGCATCATCTCTGCGGAGGAAGGGACTTCGGGAAGGTTGCGCCATGCTTCAGCAAAGGCATTCTGGGCATAAGTCTTTCGGATATGGGCCTGCAAGATGCTCTGGGCATCCTGCACTTCGCCTGAGAAGGGGGACATCGCTCGTTTGCTCGGGACGATCGCGAGAGCGGTGTCCGGTGTGTGTCCACACTCCGCTGTGGTGTTGCGATGGTGGTGGTCGCTGCCGCTGAAATTCGAAACGGAAAGAGAACACGGCAGGTGCGATAGGGAGGAAAGATGTGTGCAAGTAAGTGTTCGCGACCGGAATGGATCTGCACCCAGGGTATTTATTAGCAATCAGCCAAGTGTCAAACACACTCGCACGATTCGGTGTTGATTGACAGGCGGCGGGCACGACACCGCCTGAAGCAATCCTGTGGGCCAACTGAGGTGGAAGCTGGGATGGGGTGAGGTGAGAAGAGAGGCAAGCTGCCACAGGCTTGTATTGCCTCGCAGAAATTGAGGCTGAAGAAGTTGGAGATGGGTTGGGGTGGGGGGGGTGGGGGTGGGGTAGGGGGTTGGGG